CAAAACCGAATTCTGCTCTTGATTCACTCTCTCATCGCACCAATCTTCGACCTAACATTAAAATACTTTTACAATTATTCGCCACGTTACCAGAGTTACCTATTTCACTCCGGAAAGAACGTTTTCAGCACTTAATCGCTTAAAAAATTTTTTAAGAAGCACCATGTCGGAAAACAGACTGAATGGGTTAGCTATGGCTAATATAAATAAAAAAGAGCAATTCGATGAAATTGAAATAATAACGGAATTTGCCAGAAATTCGCCTAAGAGGTTAGGTTAGAGTTGTCAGAGTGGAGCAAGTGACTGAACACTAAAACCAAAATTATTATTATTATTGTTATAAATTATATATTAACAAATATTTTTAAAACTGTACTAAAATGCTTGAATTACGTTTAGAAACTTGGTGGTAGATTGTGGGGGGGGGGGTTAAGGGTGAATTCTCATATCCTCTCTTACCTTACTTATCAAAAAAAGTGGTTAGCCCCCTCCCCATTTAAAAATCCTGGCTACGCCACTGGCCACCGTAATGTTCATCTGTACGGACCCTATTGCCGCGTTACGCCGTCAACGTTCGCGCGATCGTTCGGATCGTAAAACACCTCGTCGACGGCCGCGACAAGCTACTAACCCACGAGCATGAGCGCAAAACCGTTATCCCTCTCCGGTCCAGTGCTGCTCGGCTTGAGGGTGGACGCAGGGGGACGGAATACCCCCGAAGAGGTTTCACACGTTTTAGCGTCCCCCTACTGTTCATTACGTTATAATTATAACGCTTAACAGGTCTTGCGGACGCTATTTTTTTTATTTCCAAGTAAACAGAGTCCCCCTTCTTTGATTTTGCCCAGGTCAAGCACTGCTCTGGTCCAAATAGACTTTATCCTGGCACCCACGACCCGACCCTCGTCCGCTTCGCACGTGGTTCATGTATGTTGTCCGTGCGGCGCTGTTTCGTTTCCGCAGTTGACCGCGGCAACTACCATCGATCGTTATCAAAGGAACTGGTTCTGTTTGGACACGTTTCGCATGCCAGTCGATTGCGGTGACTCGTGCAAGAACCAATAGTTTGAAGTCGACTGCGTCAAAACAAATCATGATTTCCTGTCGACCAAGTTTACCACTGCTTTTATTGATTTTTCGACCGTGTTAAAAATTAAAAATATATACTCTTTCGAAAGACGACAAAGCAAACTTATACGAACTTTAAGCATTAACTTATATAAATAAATCTTTTGCGATTGCAGATAAATCAAAATAGAATTGGCATTTTTAAGATAATTGTTAAATTTACATTCATCGTCAATGAGGTGTTTCCCTGACTTCTGGCTGCACACATATCGTGAACATTCATTATTTTCTCTTTTTCAAAAAAGCAATAAATATTTGATTTCTTCATCACGCTCTTTCTTTTCAATAGTATATCAAAATACTACATCCTCCATGTTCGATGCATAGGGAATTTGTAAACTGCATACAGTCAATTGTCGAACAAAACCACTAACCGCAGAAACAATAATGTCGATGTATTTTTCAAATTATTCTTCCTCCGCTTGTCGGCCCACGAAAAGCTATCGCTGTCATTGCAAATCGATGTATTCCTCGAACAATTTATGCAATATTCATTGTGCAATAATTAACGTATAATAATGAAATACAATACAATAGACCGTATATTTATAGAGGAAAACATTTCTAATAACTATTACCAAAATATAGTTTATTTTTATTCTTTTCAAAATTACGTAAATATATTATAGATTTTTTCATACCGAAAATTATAACTATAATAAACAATATCATCAGTTTTGTGAAATTAATATATCCACACAGCAGATAAAACTTTAAATGCTCATTTAATGAAAATTAGTTTTTGTTAAACAATAGCGTACTTCACGTTTCACCGAATCGTCTCAAAAACTATAGAGAAATTCCATAACTAACATTCCTAAAGTACCAAATTCAAAGTACCGAACACTCTTTGTTTCTTTCTACCTGAAAAAAGTACTAAAATCTAAAGTTATTATGAGAAAAATATTTACGTCAGATCATGTATTTAACGTATTTTTAATTTTTATCTTCAACACAAACCTGAAGTGACTGCAATGTAGACGTTACTTTTACACTTGATGTCAAGCCAAAGAGAATATAAAATAAATAAAAACGCTCGGCGAGTGAAATTGAAAAAAAGCATTTTACACAACATGATAAATATCTTGATACTATTAATATAATTTAGTGATATTTATGATACTATCGTTTCGAGCGGTCGACATCGTCGCGTCCAATTTCCGTCTCGTTAACGTTTGACGTCGGGCGTCGGAACGCCAATGGGGGCGAAATGATCATGGGTAATTATTATTGTAAACCAAATAAATGTGAAAATCAAACAGTTTATTAAAAAACCGTAGAGAAGTTATCTAAAAACATGCATTCGTTTCCGACTTCAACGGTGATAATATCGTTGACTTATACATTATGCAGAAGAAAGCGGTGCAGAACGAAATTATAACAATATAATAAATGATTTGTTCACGGGCTCAACGTGTTCGGTTCGAAATATTGACTGATCGCACACAATATAACGGTGATAACAGTTAAGCGGTCGATGGAATAAGAACACTCGCACACACACAATGTGCTTTTAAGATTAATTCATAATTATTACTTTTGCTTTAATGAAAAATAATTTTTTTATTTCCTTTATCAGCTGAACAAGCGATAAATTAAAAGACAGTTGTGGCGAATCGACATTTCATACATTACGAAATGTAGGTTTTCGCTCATCATTCGGGTACAAAGAATGCCCAATCGTCCAATCGACACGTACTGTAGACTCAGGCCCTTGAATTTTCGCCAAGCGCACAAAAAAAACCCCAAATCATAAACATGGTTTGTAAACACGTTTACCCACCTGTTCGTACATTTATTGTTTGATAAATATGGCAGTCAGCGTCCACTTTTGAAGTGCCAGTTTACTGAAGTTATAAAAAAGCAGAGCAGTGCATTATGAATTCATGCAGTACCGAAGAGTCGTCGGTCGTCCGAGAGTACATGATAAAATAAAATATCATTACAATTTCTTTTTTTTTTCATTTTATTGCAATAATAACCACCATGTTTTCACAATGTTAACTGGTTTTTGGTGTTGCATTAAAAAAAAAAAAAAAAAAATCATACAAGGGCGCATCATATAATACAAATACGTAACAATAAAGCAGAAAGTTTCCGATTGTGCATTTAGTCGAATCTTACGCGCGCAAAGCGTTTTCGATCACGAGCAGACGCGTCGCAATGCGATCGTTGTCAGTAAGAAGCCGCCGGTGATCGCGAACAGGGACGACGGGACGGCCGCGGCGCGTGATGGGGCGTAAGCGTACGCAACCGGACCGCCGTTCATCCCGGCTGCCGGACCTACGCCCGCTGCGAATCCCATCGTCAACGGTATCAGGTTCTGCTCGTAGTTGCCGGAGAATAAGTGGGCCCAAGGACCTCTGGCGAACACCATCACGTCTTCACCGCCGTGCGTTTCGTCCACCGACTCCACCATTTTCGGATACTTGTATAGCGGATCGCCTAAAAACACACACATACGCACACATCAGAAGTGTATTTAGATTTACTTCTAGGGGGGAGGGCTCAAATTTTTTCTTTAATTTGGACTCAAAATTCACAGGTAAAATGTTTGGTAATATTTAAATCTGGTGAATCCTTAATAATTGTGGTTTTTTTTTTTTTAATCCTATGCCGAATTCACTTAAAATCGACTTTTGTGTAGTTCTTTTTTAACATCTGTATGTGTTTTGAATGTTACGCTTGTATTTTATTTAATTTTTCACTAAGTATGGACCCGACGAAAAGTCCAATTCAGTATTCACAGCCACGCGTCATTTGATTTCGTTATAAAACGATCCATATTAAACAAATTTTAAATGTGTATCTCACATATAATCGATTCCTTAAATAAGGATTTGTGGGGGAGAGCAATCGCCCCTTCGATCCTCTAAAATACGCTCGTGTCACACATACAAACTTAGTCGTGATAACGTGTGCAAATGTACGAGAAAGGGTTGCAGAAACTTTCTACGCTACGTCGACATCAATGTCGAGAGATTTATCGAATCGAAAATCTCTGATCGATTATTTATATCTCCGTCTCCGCGATATTTTATTCGACTTATATTCCTACAGTTTCCTTTTTTCCTACGAAAACGCACAAAAAAATAAATAAATATTTACAAGTATTGTGATGAAAAAATCGGAGGAGGAAAATGCGAATGAGTAGATTATAATACACCAGGTGCATTGATGATGGAGCGTGGAAATATCGTTTTCCGATCGGCTAGTTCTACCCTAGACGATTTTCGGGATTCTATCCCATCCTATGTAGAACTGGACGGTCAATACCACAGTCGTAATTGTTCAACTGACTGTAGTGCTACGGAAGAATATCCGTTTGGAAAACATTTTGTTAAACAATAACGTTTTCAAACCTACACGTGTAGAGCTAAGTTGTTATATTGCAAATATTTTCATTTCTCCGACCCATACTGTTATAGTATTAGTGTAATTCTTAAACACCCGCTTAATCACGACCTTTTCCTTTAATTCCCCCTAAATTTAAAGCAAGTATAATATAGTGTATTCCTTGAAGTTATTTATTATTTTCGTTTAATATAGAATTACGAGTATGAAAACGATGATGTATTTCGTATCACATAAATTAAAACTTAATATTCATAAGGAATTAAAGTATTAATACATTATATAACACGCATATACTCGTATACATAAATGCAACATGAAGGAATTAATCATAATTTTTTCTAAATTCTTGTTTCTGGTAACGAGAGGAGAGGGCTTAGAGACTCTTCGGAAAACTATACTACTAAAACAAGTTTAAAAGATATTATTAATTTAAAGACATAGCAATTTCACTTATGGATCATGTTAAAACATCTCATAATCTCGCAAGATTACAGTTGTAAATAAAAACAATAAAACAAAAGTCACGATCCTTGAACTGTATACCTACACTTGAGGCTACTTTAACCGTAATAATCATTCGTTAATCCCATATCAACTGCATATAGGTATATCTAATTACGAAACAGTTATTAACTATATGCAACGATAAAATTTACGTTATGATAAGTTCGAAGAATTTATCATATTTCACAATATTGCGCTACAAAATAATAATTAAATTAATAACTTAATCATATTAAATATGGTAGTAATCTCGCTTTCAATGTTATACTAGAAACATTTATATTTACTACTATACTGTCCATCATTTTCAAGTATCGGAGTAAATTTTCAGATGAATATACATACATGCAAAACTACACTTTTATAACTATAAATTCGTAATCCTGATTTAAAAATATTAAAAGGGATGCTAATTCTTATTTGTACGATACTCGATTTTATATTAGTCCACACAAAAATTCAACTAAATTCAATTGATATGTAAATAAAATAATTGTTTTGTTGTAAGAACATTTTTGGGTATTTATTTCTTTAACTTAAAAGTAAATTTTTTTATACCATCCGCAGAAATGTTTCACTTCTTACTTCATATACAATAAAAACAAAAGGCCCATGAAGAATATTATTGAAATAATATGAAGCACTCATTGCTCATTGGAAAGTAAAAACAAATGTCGTATTAGAAGGATAAAACTCTGGATTTGATGATTTGCATTTAATAGAGAATAATGATGTATACTCACGGGAGTATGAAAATTCACAAAAGAGGCCGCTTATAAAGCTTAATGAAATATTCAAATATTCTACTTGCACAAAATTATCAACTGTATGTAGTGTTTTTCTATGATTTTGATGAGATAATAAATGCTAAAAAATATTTAAACATCTAAAAAAAAATTGTGGGAAATTTATTTTAGTCTAATAAAAAAATTTCCGTTTATATATATTTAATAAACAATAAAATCTATAATGAATACTTTTCTTGCAACTATTTGCACATATATGCTAAATGTCAAATGAAAGCTTTCTTTAAAAATTCGCTTATATATTATACGTAAACGTATAAGCAGATGACAAGTTAAGCATGCCACGTACAGCAACGTACATGAATACCTACCATATACCACACTCATAGCCGAAAATACTTGAAAAGACTTGTTATAATTATCATTGCCGTGCCTAGCATAATTAACGCCCGGTGCCAAAAATTATTTTTAGCGCCCCCACCCTTCTACCCCCTTATCAAATATTTTTTATAACTAGAGGCTATAGATTACATAAGAATAAGGGGTTCTATATAACGACATAATTTGTATTTATTGAATGAGTAAAGAAATAATCAACAACTAACATACAAAATAAGTAATATAACTCAAGTTGTATAAAAAGAACAAAACATGTAGATATTAAGCTATCATACTAAACTAGCATAATTTATTAACAAATCGAATTTTCGATTCCACAAAAAACAATTTATCTTTAAATAATTTTCCTGTGAAAGAAAATTAAATACCTATGCAACTTCTGCGTTCATAAACTATGATGTGAAGACTATAGTAAAAAATCGTAGATACAACTCTTTCAAGTCGACATTTGTTTATGTTATTAATGTTAATAAATTAATTATATCAAGTAACATTAATAATAGAGTATAAATGGTATATTATTGTTAATTTTTTTATCGACGACGTCATTATTTCGAGAAAAATAAAAAAATATAAAATACCTATACTAAAATTAAATTAGCAACACCGCCGGCAGGACAATGTTAATGTTGTCGATTACGCGTTGATAACGTGTTAAATTTTATGAATTAAATAATATGGTTAACTTTTAGAAATATTACTGATTATGAAAAAGCTTTTGGAGCCCCAGTGTTCCTGGCACGCGGTGCACACTCACCTCTCGCACCTTCCTAATCATGGTCTTTATAAGTATATAAATGAGTGAACAGAGTATGTATTCATGAACAATACTGTTGTTGAATGCATCCATTTAAAAGTTACGCTCCATTAACAACTAAGAGCCTCAGTTGCTATATATACTCTAGAAAAAGTGCATATATGGATGAAACTATCGTAGAATGTACCAATTCAAAACACTTAGCAGTATTGTTATTAGCCTAACAGTTTTATAAAAAAATTCGACTTATATAATGCAATACTTAAATGAAAACATAAAAATCAAATTTTACATTTTATATAGGGTTTAGAACTATTTAGTATTAATCTACAGTTAGGTCAATAAATTCTTAAATCTCTTATAATTATTATTTTAAATAAAATAAATTAATATAAGAAAATTATTTTTTTTAATTTTTTTTTTTTATATAATTTCTATCTTAACGAGCTCCCTTCATTTTTATTTTTAATTTCGATATTGATTTATGTTGACGTATACATTCTAGAAGAGTAATTTACAAAATGTTAATGTAATAAGTTTATGTAAAGAGAACGATGACATTAAAAATTAAAATGTTCAACCTGTCCGCACTTTTATTCCAAAACTTTAAATTTTTATAAATAATTAACTATTTTTTCTGTACAAAATATTTAAGTTTTCAGAAATTATTAAGATTATTATGTGTAAAAATATAAGAAACTCAAAAGAAAAATAAATCACTAAAATATGAAAAATAAAAAAATGTGTGTCTTACAATAAAATTGAATTGCAAAACATAATATTAAATGTACCATTCTGTATAAACGTAAAAAGATTAGCGCAAAATGATTTTCAAAATATCAAATGATACGCTCAAGGGATACAAGCAAAGTACTATACAACTATCTTAATCCTCTCAAAAACCATTGGATCATACTATTTTTAATTGATCTATACCTATATATTAGATAGCACTCCAGATAATCCAAGGATAAATATATACTTTCGTAATGTAGATTAAAAGTATTGTAATCGTGCATATACCACTTGGAATAATTTAAAAATATTTTCTCCCAAGCGCAGTAATTATTCATATTTAATACGAGACAGATTTATAAAATAAAACTATTGAGATATTTACATTTATCAAGTATTAATATCTTTAAGTATTAACATAAAATTCTCCACGGACTCGTTTCTATCGATAGACATCGTTTTTAGATTTGTGATTGTAACTCTTACTAAATACATAATAGTATAAAATGAAGAAAATTAAGGTATTTTAATCTTGATAAAGTATTTTAATTAAGAGATAATTTCGTAGGTTTTTTAAGTTTAAATGAAATAACAAATTTAATTTATAAACAAAAAATTGTAAAAAAAAAAATTTTAACTGCGGTGAATATTATACGTATTAATATATTCAATAACATGATAATAATAATACTATACGATTATTAATTTTCTATTACACTGAATATCCGAAAAACCAAGACGGAATATTAAAAATTATAAACGTTTAATGTGCTGTGAATAATTTATTTTTTACCGCAATAGTAAAATTGTTGAATTTTTAAGCGTTCATAAAAAGTAGCAACAGAAATTAAATTGAAATAAATAAAATCCACAGTCTAATTGTACTTTACGAAAAAAACATGACTATGTAGATGTACGTTTTGTACTTTATTCATCAGGATATAATACCATCGCGGTGGCGATTAAACTGGTTAAAAAAAAAAAAAATTCGTCAATAATTATCACGATTTGGCCCAATACGAAAATAATGAAATTATTAGCAGCCATGTAGGGTTTGCACCTATATTTCTTTACTAGATCAAATTAACACAAAAATGTTGATACTATTTTACTAATTCAAACACGCATTCCTTATTGTGTCATTTATAACGTTAAAAAGCGATATTTTAAAAACTTCTGGTCCGATGAACTTTAGACTCTTGTAATTAGTATTAATTATTGTTTTAAGAAATTGAAAAAAAAAACAATGCATACATAAATGAGGTAAGTCTCGTCGAAAAAATAAAAATATACACAAACATTTTATTTTAAAACGACATTTCCCTTTCCATTTTCCATTTATCCAAATTTTAATTTATTGAGCATACGAATTATATTCACTCGAGGTGCAATCACCATAATGCAGGTATATTAAAAGTGTTTGAAAATTTCAAATGATCCATGTTTACACGTCGTATGAATGATAGGTATATATATCGCTATGCATCCACAGATAATGCGTAATCGTAAACTTTTTTTTTAATAAAAAATAAAAATAAAACAATAATAGACTTTTATGCGTCGACGAACATTTTCAAACGATGGTACGGCAAATCGCAAGCAACGGCAAAAGTTTAACTTAAGCGTTTACTATCATTACGGTGTGCGCAATCGTTTACAATCCCGGTAATTTCCCAAAGACGTCAAGGCAATGTGTGCAGATTTTATGCAGTCCTTATGGTTCTTTCGCAACTTGGAATACACTATTACACAACACGAAACCGTTTTGTTCGACGATTACAAGAACCAAAAGCGATTTTGTAAAATATTTTAAGGTACTACCAACAATGATGGTGTATCATCGAGTCGGGTCTCTGTAGACGTTAATCCGCTTACGGATTTCAAGATACTTCTAGCAGGGAAAATATGTTCGACCATTCGGGTCTACGACAAACACAATCAATATCAGACGAGTACGTCTGTCGAAAAACTATACCGATTTCGTGCCTTATGTCCTAATTTTCCGAAGAGATGCCTGTAATGTCCCGAATTGAAGTTCATGATTAAAAAATACCGACTTTCAAAAATACCTGATAACAAATTGATAAATATTATCATAAATACGCGTTGGCCAAAAAGAACGGGTCGTATATTCTTAATTCTACATTTCTACACCGTATCCAAAATCGTACGCAATTTCACTATATCCCGGTTTAGTGCTTTCAAAATCAGGCCACCCTATGTAAAGCAACCTTATATAATTATCTCTAGGATTTTCGCCAACGAACGTTAAGTATTATCGCGCTCATGAGTTAGATCGGGTTCGTGGTGAGGTTTAAGTATAATATTAACATTATTTACTCATATCGACTTTGGACAAATCCTGGCGGGCGCATCCAGGAAATTCGGATTTCGGTATGCCCGGGCCATTGGCGTAGCTAAGGGTAGCGATCGGCAAACCGTCAACTCCAGGAGATCCAACCAGTCCCAAAATGTTGTTGCCCCTGGACGGATATCCGGACATCGTCATGGTGTGCGAGTGGTCGGAAGTAACGACAATCAGCGTATCATCTTCGTTGGTCATGTCCACCGCCTTTTGGACGGCTTTGGACAACTCTACCGTTTCGTCAACCGCTGTTCTGGCCGTCGTTAAGTGATGGCCAACGTCAATGAGTCCACCCTCGACGAACAAAAAAAATCCGTTCCTCTCCTTACTCAGAATTTCGATGGCTTTTTTCGTCATCTCCTCCAACGTGGGCTGTACCGTGGCGTCCGCAGTAAGTCGAAACTTCATATGTTTGTCCTCAAATAGACCTACAATACATGAAATATGCATAACATAAATTTTAATTTATTAACATAAAATTGTATACTGCCGATCTATTTAAATAAAAAGATAGAAAGAGAAAGAACGAAAAAAATTAAGAAGGAAAACGTATAGTAGTATATTTAAGTATAATCTCACGCATATTAATACATCACAAGATGGTTGATCATTGTTATTACGTCATCTAGTTTCTCAAAATCCAGACTAATTTATTTGAAGACCCTGGGTGGAATAACGAGTTATAACTGCTTTTAAAACTTGTCAACTTTTAGATGTTTTATAAATTCGAGTAAAAAACATTTTTTTTTTTTTTTGTAAAAATTTGGCAGATTCAAAATTAATTAAAATTGCACATTGATGTCAATAACGTTAACAGAAAGACATCAAAAGATTTAAAAATGCCCAAAAAAAAAAAAGAGAACAAGACGTAGTATGAGTAGTTGGGTGATTTGAGAAAATTACTTGACAATAATATATACTTTATTTCCATTTCTTTTGAATTGCTTGTTCATATCAATGAAATATTTAATACAAAAAAATCGGTATAATATTTCCTTTGGTATTTACATTTATATTAACCAAGAAATTTTTTTTTTTTATATCTGCTTACCCAATAAATAATCGGTCTTAGAAGGGTCAACGTTTAATAATTGGTCTCTGTTTTCAACGTATGCTGTTTTACCATTTCCAAAACGTTTTGTCTTATCTTCCTTCCATAAATTCACAAGATCCATATCCATTCTAAATCCTTTTTTATTTGTATCATTGGTGAAGAACATTTGGCGACCTCCACCAAGTATCACCTATAGGTTAATTATTACTCAAATTGGCATAAAATTGTAAACAAATCTTCATTTTTACTGTCAATATAAAAATGTTAATACGGTGAAATCTCGAATATTAAAAAAAAAAAAAAAAAAAAATCACTTTTATATAGATAAATAATAATTGAAAAAAATCCAAAATATAATATTCATAGTAAATAAAATCTAATAAAAATTATGTGTAAAATAACTTAAAAAAATAACATGCGCAATATAAAAAAAAATTATGAATCATTTAAACTATTAAACATTTTAAAGGATAAAATTTAAATTAAATTTAACATGCACTTTGATAAAGGGCAGTTAATATGTGTTACAAATATTACGAATTAAAATACTTTTAGTTGTTATTTATTATAACGATTTGTACCTTGTTCAATAAATATAAAAAAAATAGCATTATATTTCCTAACAGAGTTTAAATATTAAAATATGTACGATGTGCAATTTATTTGAAAATAAAGTTATTAAAAATACACACGTATGTCAGCTAATGGCACACGAAGAGTGTAAAATTAATTTATTAAGTAATATGGTACTTCAAACAAAACAGAGGAGACATATTTATAATGAAAATATACAAACAAATCTTACTTGGGCTAGCATCTACAAATTACATTATTAATATGTTTTTGGTAAGAAAGTTATATTTGCCATACGTCTATGATCGGTTAATGAAAAAGATACTCAACTTAATCAAGCCACAGTAAAAACATGTTTGTGTGTGTATGTATGTGTATGTGGGTAAAGTGACATTTTATTTCATGAATAGATGCGTTATAAAGTCGGAAAATTCGCACTGGACACGTAAAAAAAAGAAAACTTATAACTGAACAGGTATCCCGAAGGATAACGAATCTATACATAATATACACACGAATATATTATTGTACGACAAGAAAGATATAACTTTAAGACTAGGAATGTAATACCCTATAAGGAAATTAACACAAAAATTGTATTTATTTTCTAATAATTTATGCATAAATTATACATGATAAAATTTATTAAATTTAAAAGTTATTCGATACATCCCATTTGATATTAAATTACTTTTCAAAACATTGTAGTAATAAAAAGAGTTCTTTATGTATTATTTAATATCTCAGACTCCGTTAGAAATTAATCGTCTACCTTTATAATAACATATATATATATATATATATATATATAGATACATGCATGGTTAATCGAGATATGAGTTCCTATGTATAACACCCTAAACTTTCAATATTATTATTCATTTCTCAATCCAAGTCAGTCTACAGAAAATTAAACCACGTTTACAATAAAAATACAGTATTCGTCATCAAGTTGATTGTTATCGATTTACCTTATCGTGTTAGTTGATCGGAACAAAAATATGTGTTATTAACGTTAATCACGGTTTAAAGGAAAATAAAAAAAAAAAAAAAATGTTAAATGTTAAAAATATGCAAAACAAAATCGATAATGTTTTTCTAAAAAAAAAAAAAACGATTGGTGATTAATAAGCCATACAACATTTTCAATCAGATTTCAAACACCTTGCCGACTACAAAACGATCGGGTACGCGCACAAATCTCGTTCCTCTCCTATTAGACTACGTCACGAACACGATATCGCGCACTCACCTTAAAGTCCTTGCCGGGACTCCTGGTGACCAACTGCTTGGCGATGTCCTCACATCGGCCGGTGTCCGTCACGTTGGAATAATGGGCCATGCCAGTGTCCGTCTCCCATCCCCGGTTGGCCGAGTGCGCGTATAGCCCGGCCGGCGATGCGTGCGTCACCCGGGCCGTGCTGACCAGCCCAACGGCTTTGCCCTCAGCCATCGACCAGTCGGCTATGGAGCTGACCCGGTTCTCGGGCTTCAACGACCCGGGACAGTCGTTCAATCGCACCGCTGCCGTCAGCCCGAGCATCTCGTAGTTGTTCTTCACGCCCGTCAGGTACGCGGTAGCCGTGCACGCCGAGTCGGGCACCTGTGCGTCCACGCAATACGTCTGCGAACGGGAGAAACAAATCAATACTGACCGGACAATGAACGAACGATAGTAGATGCATATTTATTTCAACGACCTGTGTGTTCGTGCGAACACTTTTTAACTTTTGTAAATTTTTAACTTTTAACATATTTTTTACAAGACTGCCCGAGTGCGAAGTTGAGTTAGATTACGTCAGACGCGGAACTAGGGGATGAAAGACGGGAATTCATCATCGGGCGTTAAATTTTAAAAGGTGTTATTCTCGTAATTATTAACAGCTTATTTGATACATTAATAACTAATTATTTATTATTACTTGTTTATGTATTATTAATTAATTCGATATATTTAACTTTGTTAAATACTGTTATCAGATTAAAACTCAATAACTATGATTGTATATTAATTATTAGAAAACAATTCTCAATATGAGTATTTGATTACTGATCTATGATAGGGCGTAATTTTAACATTTTCCCCGGGTGTAAAAATTCCTAGTTCCACCTCTGAGTTACGTCCTCTGTCGGACGCGCGACACGTGGTCCGCGTGCCAATGAGACATTTTACGCGTTCTCTCAGCCGATTGCTGACAAGTTATCCGTCGGTTTCGACTCGTCGCGCCACAGCCGGTCTTAGTAAACCGTTTATGCGTGTGCACATCGCATACGATATTGCGATATAATATATTTTGTTAATACTCGGAGAAAAAATTAAAAAAAAAACTATTAAATAATATCTCTTTGTTTCATAAGTAGCTTCACCGTTGCTATAAAACCGGATACGAGGGTAACTAGGCTAAATCATGTATGATATACGTATTGTTGACGAGAAAAGTTTACGGAGCATTATTTCGGGGAAATTCCGTTTGATTGTTCGTTTTAATTCGAAAATCACAAGTTAAGTAATGCGTATATTATATCGAAATACTTGAAAATAGCTTTTTGTTCAACATTTCCCACCATACGTAACCATTTGTTATACTTTTGCCGTTAATAAAGAGTATCATCGAATTTTTTCAACAATTACAACATCTAATATTTGTTTGCTATGATAGTTAAACAAGAGCAGTTTTCAATATAACTATTGAACTTTAGCTAATAAAAATAATCCTAGATGGTAAGGTAGATTTTGTTGTAATTTATTTACAATTACTATTGTAAATATTATTAATTTACTGTTGGTGTAGGGGATATAGAAAATTGAGGCAAGTGGAGGTATAGGACAAGGGTGGCTAATTCCAAATGGTTGAGAGAAAGGCGAAAGAGAAGAAGAAGATTTTACAGTACGAATGAAATTATTGACAATCGTCTAAGAATGGTAAGCGTATTTTTAATGTTGGTCCAGACATATTTTGGTGAAATCTATTGAAGAAATTGTACAGCTAAATGTGCTCATTGAGTTTTATAGTTAAGGGCCGGTACACACGGACGATTTTTTATCGGACAACATTTTTATCGTATTAAAATATTATCGTACGATAAGGTGTTAGTTAGGTACATACGACCGACATTTTATCGTACGATCTATATCACAAATTCAATTGATTTTGGTGAGTTGGCTCCACTAGAAATATCACATTCGTCCTCCGAAGACATGATGGATACTAAACACTTTCTATGTTTTGAGACGATAAATATTACCGTTCGTGAGTTCTAATCAGTTTATTTATGTACATTTTGATTGAAATATTTTGATCATACGATATTTTTATCGGACTGAAGTTTAAAACGTCTCCGACAGTTTTCGAGGTGTCGTACGATTATCTTATCGTACGACATTTTATCGTAATCGTGTGAACAGCTTAATTTATAACCATGTTATTTATAATATCGTACGATAATATTTTAATACGATAAAAATGTCCGATAAAAATCGTTCGTGTGTACCGGCCATAACTGTTGATTTGAACCTGTTGTTTCTCGTTTTTACGCAATATTTGTTAACGACCCGAACACATTTCTGGTTATATTGTAGTAGACGGCATTACAGTAGATCCCAAGGCTTACTTGCGCTGTATTTCAAAATTCTATACGGGCAAGAGTATATGATATGTGTTTATAAATTCAGTTCGCACCAAACGTTTCCAGCCATAACAGTATTAACCTCAGAACAATTAAACGTGGTTATTCCGCAACAATTAGAAACGAAGAAGAACAAAAAAACGAATTCTGTCGGACACAATATGCCGCGTGTGGAGTCCACTGTATAACTGTATTTTTGAACGTGATTGAAATGCAATTTATTGATTCGCTCGAATAATCATTACGTTCAGAAAAAACATTTGTGCACGGTGCTCTCGCATTAAACGGCAACCGATCGCTTATTGGGAATTGGATTATGTGTTTAACAACCAATCGATTTAATTTTGTATGATGTTTTTAAACAATATTTTTCAAACACGCCGCTTGAATCCATGTTCGAAAACATGAAACCTGTTTCGTTTGAACGACGTTCGAAGTGTATATTACAACTACATTGAGAAATGGTGCGGTTCAATATAAACGGACAAAAATAATTAATAACTGTAATAAATCGCTCGTAATAATATTTCTAAGAACGTTTAAACAACGTTCAACACGTGAAACTTGTGAATGAATTCGCAATTTTTTCCGCATTTATGAGCTAATTTTTTATACAATTGATGAACAATGCACATAATTGTTTCTACGTATCATAACCTTCACATTTGATATTAAATAAAATTAGCTATCCAGCGATAAAATTATTTGTTAAAATTGTAATTCAATTTAAAAGTTGTATTCAAAAAAAATATTTATGCATTTGATAAGCAATGTCGACTAGATTTCTACTTAAACGTTTGACATACAATTAGTAGATTTTATTTTATTAAAAAGTAATGGTGCATAACACAATTCACATTACTTTATATTTATCAAAAGTTATTCTGAATAATGATTGTACATTAAATACAATTCACGCATTTGTGTTTTTATGCATTAAAAATACCCTTTGCTGGAATTTTAATCATCAGCCAACCCTATATTGTTTATTATTCATTTAGAATCCCTCTTTCCATATCGCTCTGTTTTTGACAGCTGTCATCCCAGTCCCCGCACATTCTATGCACTATGCATTATACTACCTTTGGACTTTGACCATATTTTTTCTTAGGTCTCCAATTAACACCATTACCCTTGTCATGAACACTGACAATATTGTCAGATAACGAATTGAACACAAAATTAAAATATATTAACAACCGATTACTTAAAATAATTTAAATAGATTTACCACTTAAATAATCCACAAGACTATATTGGACAGTGATAATATTAAATATATAATAATATTAATATTAATATTGGTTTCAATAATCTTAAAAAAAACATCTATAGAATAATGCACTTGATATTTTTTTTCTTATAGTCCATTTTTAAAAATAAAGTCTTACTTATAACTATTTTTTATCACATGATTAAAAAATAACTGTACAATTTTTTTTCTAATCAAATTAAAAATTCGAATCGAAAACTAAATTCCGAAAATAAGTACTTAAATTTCAAAACAAAAAAATTGGTTCAAAATATTTTGACATGATTTATAACAATACAATAATATTTCTGCGTCAAATTTTGTAACCAATAAAATACATATTATATATAAATAAACATATAATTTTAATTAATACAATTGAATGGATCTAATTTAAAGAAAGTAAAATATTTTTCTGTAATCTAAAATGTGTACAATAAATTTGATCCAATATTAATGGATTCCATATTTTAACTGACGTGACTAAGAACCCTTTCGGAATACTCATTTTAAATTAATTATTTTAACGCACTTATGTTACTAATAAATGCTATTTAATAATCAATACCATATTGAGAGTTGATAAAATACCTTTTTTTATTATTATTTATAAAATAAAATTTCTTAATTTAGCTTTAAAATAGTTATTAGATCTAACTTATAACTAATATACTAAACATAAATAAAGTCGATAGTTATATTAATGGTAACTTTATTAATTAGTATTATTTAGAGTATAAACTTTTATAGCAATTAATTTCAATTTTTAAGTTTAAATATGAAATATGACGAAAAAAATTACAAAATGAATAACAAAACCAAAATAATCTCGTCTATACGTTATTATTTAGGCAATTATTTTACTAAGTATTCAATTATAATATTATTTCTAATAAAATTATTTAATTTCATTAATTCTTAGTAATTGTTTATTCAAAACTTTTATTATATTAAATTTGTTCTATTTTTTAAATTTACTAATTAATTAAGCCTTCTTAATAATCATCATTTTATTTTAAACAAATAAAATATTGTTTATATAACTGTTAAAAATAATATTATTTAAATATTTTAGAAACCATATAATTATTTAAATAATTTAAAATACATTTTTGTTTCTAATTAGAATAATATATTGTATAATAATTTCCTATATAAATATTAAATTGAATTAATTATTAAATTATTAATGTATTTATTTTCTATTTGGACGAAAAATTATTTATGTGTTTTGTATATATAAACCTAACTCCCGACCAGTATATATATATATATATATAAAACTATATATTGATAAAAAAAAAAAGAAAAGTTTATGTATCAATAGTAATATTCAAATAGAGTAACATACAAGAAGAAATGATTATACTAAAATATAATATTATACTATATCAATGAAATGCCATCATTTATATACACTACGCTCGACTGTACTTTAAATGAAATATTGATATTGACACACAAAAACCTACGAAACTAAAATACCATTTTTCAGTAAACGTGTTTCATATTTTAAAATCCCATTGTAATAATTTTACTTTTATGACGTTTTTTAATGAAATATAACATAAAAATATATTAATTTTTAATTCAATAAACTGTTTAGAATATTCACAATTAATAAAATAAACACAAGTAATCTAAAAAACAAATATTTAATCAGATGTAAACATTTTTATTTATTAAATTTAAAGCTATAATCCTTCTGCGCATATTTGTAGTAGTTCTTTTTTAGTAAACGTTTTTACGTTAGACATAATACCTAATATAGTAGTGATATTTAAAAAAATATTAAAAAATCGATTGTTTTATAATCAATTAATTTGGACCAAGGATGTTTGCCTTTAAATATTATAAATATAAGCATAATTGCTATAAATAAAACAAATTTAGTTTATAATAAATTAGTAATTTAATATACGAAGTTATAGAGTAGATGGAATTAATATGTGTAATTACAAAAACATTTATTAGGATAAAAAAAATTTGTGATAAAAAAAAACTAATTTTAGAAATTAATAATGAAAAACTTTACGGTTATGATGACGAACGGCGATTATCATAAACGTATCTTAAAAATTTTTTTTAAATAGTTTATTTTATCTCACCTTTGCCATGCCAACAAACGGGAATTTCTCAAAACTCAAGTACTCATTCTCCCCGGACCGTTTTTCCATTTGACCTTTGTAAATACGCGATGCCGTCAAAGTAGTCACCGACATGCCATCACCCAAAAACATGATTATGTTTTTGGCGACATTTCTTTTGTTCAAGTACTTGACTTTTTCGGTCACCATATCCTTGCCATTCTCGATCCAGAATTGACTGTCTACGTGAAGAAAGTCCATACAGTTATTATTTCACTTCCATCTTTATATATATAATCTATTATATATTGTTTATTTATTTACATATAATACGAAATAACAATTCACTCGAGACTTAAGTCAGACTTTAACGAGTGCCAGTTGAACAATGGAAAAAAAGTGAGTGAATTTTTTTCGGATGATTTGGCTCTGTTGAAAGTCGAGAGCAATATGTAATGTCCTTGTGCGAAGAATATTTGGAATGAAAGTAAAAAAAAAAAAAAAGGAATAGTAATAGACGAGGTTTATATATAACATCTACTCCAGAGAAAATTGATAATAACAACTGAGAAAGTTTAAGTTGGTAAGGGATGGGGTGACTATAAGAAAAGGTATATTTATATATTGCAATAAAATAATATCGAACGAACGCAAATGCGGATATCCTGTTCCAGTAAAAAATAAAGGGAAACTGGCAATGAATTCCAAATAAGCAACCCACTCTTATTTTTTCTATTTTTGAATATTGTTTAAAAGTGTACATAAAATAAGGTTAATATAAATCCAATTACATAAGTGTTCATTTTGTTTGTTGTTTTTGTAAATTCCATTCAGAAAATACACTTTTTACTTGAATATTTATGTTTTTTTTTTATCATTCATTATAAGATCCAATTTAACTATTCAATAAAACCAATCAGTAAAGAAGTGTGGGTTCAGTCAATCGATTTTAACAAACTAAAAATTATTATTTGAATTTCTCTAATTGTTTTTCCATATAAATTTCAAAGAAAACAATTGTATTGTGTAGTACACTAATTATTATTCCTACTAAATGTAAGTATTATAATGATTAAATAAACCATGTATATTATTTGAAACTTGATATAATGGAAAATACTAACAATTTTAACAGCCAGATATTTATTAATCAAAATTAAAAGAAAAAAAACCATTTTATAATATCTTGCAATGCTACAAAAATAATTTAATAACTAATTGTTTTTACTATATTCAAAATTTAAATTTAATTTAAAAAAAAGTACAGAATTAAAATTTGCTAATAATAATTAAAAAATATATATATATATACATAATATACATATAAAAATAATATATTGTATGATTAAACTAAAATACATTTTATGTATTATTCCTTAAAATATCGATTTAAAAATTCTGAAAAAAAAAATGATGATTTTTAGTTAAAAACGATTACAATTAAACCATTCATAGTAAGTATAAATATATCATTCAATAATTATGTTTATTTTTAACCATTAACCTTCAATAATTAAACAAATTTTTAATTCTAAAAAAAACTAAAAAGTAATATAGGTTAAACACAGATCAAACTTCTTCGTAGATAGAAATTCGCCGTGTTATCACGATTGATTAATGTTCAATAATATTATGATTAAGTTAGTCCAACCTACGAGTATAAGACTACAGTGGTAAATGTTATAAGTATTATAAGTTTTCTAGTAATAAACAATAAAAAGAGTTTAGAGAAATAATTATTATTTAGATAAGATTATTAATAACTAACAAGGCAGATTTTAGCAGCTATTTTGAAATACTAATTGATGCGTACAATTTCAGACGATTATTAGATTCCTAATTAATATTCAAACGAATGAAGAAAAATAAAAACAAATTTAATATGAGATTATGATTATAGTCATGATTATAATAATAATATTTATATTAATAATACGTGAATTCAAAAGTTATATTAAGTTATGATTGCGATGACTCATGAAAGGTGTGACTTTATTTATAAATTATTTCTATCCTTTTTTTTATGAGAGTCGAGTGAAAAAAAATGGGGTTTAACAAACATCAAAACTAATTGATGGCAAAACCTAAATAGTTTAATTAAAAACAAATAATAATACGACTCACGGGTTGTCGCGAGTGTATAGTAATTAATTTACCTTTTTCCGTGTAGACTTTTGCACCCACGGCTGCATACGAGTTATGACCTGGAAATGAATAAAAACACAATAAAAATGAATAAAAAAAATTTTTGTTCGTGGTTGTATTAATATAAGGGTAAAATGCATTTTACAATACTATTATGTAATATAATAATACAGGGGTGTTACGAAAACGTGTTATTCGAGAAGAGGACGGGCGATGAGATTTTCGCGGTCGGTAGCAGCGGTTAAAGTTTGCACCGCCGGCAGTTTATTATCATCTAAACTTTTCACTTTCTTTGTGTGTACTTTTTTTTTCGAGACACGCCGTTGCGCGAGTTTGCCGAAAAAACCCAGTACGATTTATTGCGTGACATTTAGACCGCGTTTCTTTTTTTCCGCTTCCACCGTACACCACCACCGCACCGTTTCCTACCCCTTTGCGTTACACTATCGTCGTCGTCGTCGTCGTCGTTTTCTTTCACTTAATCTGTTGAAATTACTTTGTTCTCGAGTAAGTCGTTCGTTTCAATTTAGAACATTTCTCCAAATGAGCCACCGCCGCCGCGTCGTCGACAAACAATATTTACACTCTGAGCATGTGTACACACATAGGTACCTTCCCGTAGTCACACTCAGCGATGAACTAAAAAACATACAACACCGATATCACCAACGAAATCCTCGTTTTGAATGTCATCTCTCTCCTGCCGGTATTGCCGAACGTGTTTCATTTCGCGTGCGACGTACGCAAAAATATACATTATCAATGTTTCGAATAACTCAAAAGCGCAATTATTTCATTGTAACGATTGAAAAATAACACAGTACCTATATGAGCATGGCCGTTTTCGACCAAAAACGTACCCTTCACTTTTCGACCAAAAAAAAAATTTATATAATAAATTTAAAATAATAAAATAATTATGTACAATTTTTATCAATAATTATTAAAATATTAATATAAAAGAGAACGATATTTTGTATCTAGTTTTAATCTCTTATCTTAATGAAAATTGTTTGCATTTTTTTTCGAAATATCGGAATTTTAATTTTTAAAATGTTAGGACTTCCGGATTCACTCACCAACTCCAGTTCCACTGCGTGGCACTTTTCTGGAGGATGGGGCTTCGCCCCAAGGGGAATTATAGTTTAAGCCCAACCTAGTTTTTATACAAACTTTGACACTGTTGCAAATGGGATTATGCTCTGTACATGAACCTAAAACCTCGCAATGTGAGAAAACCTTAAATTGTCATTAATATATTATAGTAGTTTCCATCATAATCAAATATGTACTCGTATATCATTATTTTATTATTTTAAATTTATTACATAAATTTTTATTTTGGTCGAAAAAAGGATCGGCCTATTTTAAATTTGGTCGAAAAGTGAATTGGCTGAAAAGGGAAGGATATGGTTTTGGTCGAAAATGGTTTCGCTCACCTATATTGTGTAACGTAAAACCCTTGAGTTTTTGAGAAGGAAAAGCCGAATTCGGAACTCTCGATTTCTGACAATAAAATAATATAACCTCTCGTGAAAATTCATCACTGCGTCATATGGTCTTTTCAGACCGTTCGAATGCATTTCGAACACAAAACCCGTATTTTATAATCTGTTGAGTTGCTATAGCTACTACCCGTTAAAATTTGGTGTCCTTCGGAGAAATATTACGAATGAACAGAGGACACATCATATTCGTTGTTTTCATCCTACCACTGTGTATTCCTCTCTCTCTCTCTCTCTCTCTCTCTCTCTCTCTCTCTCTCACACACACACACACAAACACACGTACTCAACACTATATTATGAATATTTCTAATTCGTTTATGTTATACTAACATCGTCATCATTATAAGTATTTTTATTATTGTTGTTGTGTAAGTCTTCATTCGGGACCTGAAAAATTGCGTCAAGCATAGCCAACGTAGCCAAACTCGTTTTCAGCGTGTGCAAGAAAACTACAAAAATTAATTTATAAAAAAAAAAAAATCAGTCAACATAGCAGTCTCCATAGAAGTAAAATATAAATCGTTATTTCAATAGGCGTTCCATACACTGCGACCTCCTGACTACACTTATGGCGTCGAGTATATAGTATACACCTATATAATTATAAACAATAGACGACAAAAATTTTCGAATCGGTGATTAATATTGATATTGAAAAGTTCTCTTGATTGAAATTGTATCAACGATAATAATGTGTCCATCCGGTCTTATTGTTTCTTCGTTATTAATACGTTATTCAGACGCACCCAGATAATGTGTCAACTAACGACTAACTAGCTTTTGGAATATTTCCGCATTCTCATCGCACTCATATATTTATTATTAAGCATATATTATTAGCAACACACAATAGTAGATTTCATTAAATTGTTATATTGTTATATTAGCCAACAACAATAATAATCATATTAATAACTTGAATAGATTGTCTCAAGCCCAAGATAAATGCGGTAGATTTAAGTTATTTTTGACAAGTTTTCTATCATTTATTTAAACATTTAATCGATTTATAGTTATCATATTGTATAATTACATATGACTACAAGGTTATACGCATTCTTCTATTTTAAAAATATAGGTTGTGGGTATACAATGTTTACTTGCTTCATTGACCTTTTTAAGTTAATAATCTGTGAAAACTATACCAAGAAAAAATAATAGTGATACCATTTACGTAGTTCCAATATTAAAACAACAAGAATTAGCAATAATATCATGACAAGCGATTATATTCACACTTTATTACATAAACGTAAAAATAATATTTATGATTTCAATAATCAGTAATAATAGAAAGCAATAGAAGCAGCATTGGTAACATACATTTAAATTTTTCTTTAAAATATATTAAAAGATTCTAAGTAATAAACTCAAAATATATTGAAAATATTATTATCCGTTATAAAAATTATAACATTATTGTATTTTTATCAAGAAATTAGACTGTATGTCACAATTATTATAATCGATAGCGCTTCAAAGAACTATTTTTTATGTAAAACTTATTAAAAAGAAATAAAAGAATTTGATAAAACAATGATCAATATTTTATATATTCCTTTACAACGAAGTATAGTTCAATTTATTTTATTTCAATTTAACTTATGCGAGATTAAAAGTATAATCTTTACAGATCGATGTTATACATAAAACACGAATTCAAAAAAAACCGTACTATTTTATTTTATACTGAAATAGATTCTTTTTCATTTTCATCATATCATTCAATGAATTTGTATTCATTGAAAAATCATATCAAATAATATAAGCAGTTGTTAAAAAAAAATTCTAATTATTATAAAAATGATGGTCTCCACTACGAAAAATATTGATGTTTTTAAAATAATATTAACAATCTGCAATTGGTTTAGTTTTAGAAGTATAACCCATTTTAGTATTGGTTATTTCCTAAATAATAAATACAAACTCCTAAAATTAGACTTATTGTCAATATATAGGAATATAGTATAATATAATATATACGAGTATATTATATAATAGGGATATTGGATGGTTAAAATATATCTTAAATCATAACTTTTTTAATTACTACTATACAATCATTTTTTAGGAATGAAATTATACATAGCCGTGTTAAAGAACTTCCACCAATAAAATAACATCAAAAGAAAAATTACAATAAAAAATTGTATACTGCTCAACAGGTTTCATAGTTAACTAAGTAATGTGTTAATATTAAACGTTTATCTATGAAAAATAATTTTTAACAAAACAAGAATAAATAGTGGGTATTCATTTTTGGGTAAAGTTTTAAACCATCATGTGATTTCTCTTGGGTATCAAATATGTTATTTACGACCCTGTTTTTTTCTTTTCTTTTTTTGTGCGCAGACGAATGATATTCAAAGAACATAATAATTTCATTATATTTTCCCCGTTTCATACAAAGTTCCGAAAACTTAGAGGATACTATAAAGAATACATGATACCACGTAGTTGACTCACGTTAGAGTTAAATAAAAACAACTAAGGATAAAGTAGATAATACAATTTATATTATCTTTACCTTTATAACCATCAAATTAATTACATTACACACAAATCTTTAATAATAATATAAACCAAAACTTTAATGTGTTTGCTTCAACACTATCATGACATTTTATCGACTTGTTCGAATATTTATTTCAAGTTAAGGGTTTGTTTCATATTTATTTTATAACTATTAAACGAATGTTTAAAATATTTTAAAAAAATAATTACATTTTAAATGTTTTTGACTGTAACTTAATATTCCATTACAGTATTGGTTTTGTAAAACACGGTAAACTGTATAAGCACATCATTTTAGTAGTATTTAAAACTTTATCAAGGGCAATACAGAATAACCAAAAACAAAGTACTTAAATATATTTATAGTATATATGTATAAACACATTGTTGTAATTGTATTGGTTACAATTTTACGAATTAACGTACCATTTATTATTAATTTTGAGGAAATTAAAAAAAAATATTTTATAATAATAGCTTCGAATAACGATTAACCAATGTGTATATTATACACAAGTAAATCAGTTAATTTATAATTGTTGATGAAAACATAAATGAAATGATGAAATTCACGTAAATATTCACCAAGAAGTTTAACCGGCTTAAGATTTTTTTTTATATATATTTGAATAAATTTGCGTTTAAATAATTTGAAAAATAAATAATTCGGTACAACTAATTTAGTTAAACTACATAAAACCTATAAAAAAATCACGTCATAACTGAATTTATTACATTTCTTATAATAACAATTACAACTATCGCCTCTGAATTAATTACACCGCATACTTATGCAATAATATATGTACGAAAATACATAAATGTATAACATCACAGTCGATATGTTATAGGTTTGAAATTGCATATTCGAAAATAGGTACTCAGAACTTTAGTTCTTACCACACGTGTAAAAAGTTCGTGGCCAGTGACTTCGAGTTGGTAGTTGTTACAAAGTTTTTGTAGTCCCTATAGTTTGATGTTATAATTGTGTTACAGTAACCGTAAGTAAAAACTGGTTAAAATAATCGCAGTACACACGATGGAAAAAGTACCCGAGGGATTCCTATAACTGCGCGGATGAAAAAAAAAAATGAAAACCCCAAATAACATGCACATACAAACATTACACACACAACAATAAGAAAAATAACTATGCTTGCTTGTGAGACAATGTTCACATTCGAACACATACTATTTCGGAATGTCGCAAATATCCCATTGATCTCGAAAATCTCAACCTTCCTTACAATCTGACCTTTTCGGTCAAACACAGAAAACAATATAGCTTATCATAGTCATTGAGGATAAAAATAATTTAGATCACTAAGTTTAATTCAATATGAATAACGTTGTGAGAAAAAAAAAAGCTAAAAAAATATTCTAAAACTAATGGATGAAGCCGAAAATTTAAATATTTTTCAATAATAAAAAGAAAGAGAACAATTTTGGACTTACTGTTACATATTACGGTGATACAAATACAGTACACGAACGCGATCAAAGCCATTATCAGTGAACCGGCGACGTCAATGATGGCTAAACTGAGTGAACTACACAACTACTGACCTCTGAACACCAACTAAACCAAGTAAACACTAACCTACAATGTATAATGAATGATAAATCCTAATGTAGGTATATGTATAGAACTGAACCGCCGGCACAAACCGGTTTGACTCTACTTAAGAATGCTAACACTTGAATATAATAGCTAATTATCAACTTGACGTATACATGAAAACAATAATAATAAAAATATTTAGAAAAGCCCACCCTGTGAGAGGGCCAAACTTTCGTTTTCTAAACGTATTTCAAACAATAAACTATGTAATTCCATACACAATTTAAAAAATATTCGATTACTTATATACTAAGTACTTAGATGTTAATACTTATTTGTTTTTTTTTGACTAGTATAAATATAAAATCAAAAAATTCGTATTTTTATATTTTTAATACCGGAAAGGTTATGGATATAATTGAATATCTTAATATTTATCTATATCTTAAATCGTATATCTTAAGTATATACTGCGATAACTAACACAACGAGGATGTAATCATAGGTGTCTTTAAATTAATACATACAAATATAAAATACAATTTCAATAAATTATAACAATAGGTAATATGCAAGACAACGTGATACATTTTTTCAAACTAAAAAAATAGACAAGTAGTAATTTAAAAATCAAAAATATCACCCAGAATTCAAAAACCAAAATAAAAAAAGACCTTAAAAATCAAATTAAACAATTAATTCTTTCGATTATTCATCAAGGTTAAAAACATTGCATTATATTCCAAATCCAAAGTAGACAGATTCTTCGATATAGAACGCATTAGTTATATAACTTGATTTCTATACGCTTAACAAAATGCAAACGTTAAGTGAATACAGATTTTTGTTAATGTAACTAATCGACATCTAATATAATGATGATTATTTACTGTTATTTATTTATTTATAAATTTATAATAAATGTAATGAATAATATCATATTTTTTTACTAAAAATAATACTAATCCAATCCAATAATCTGATTTGATAGATTTTTCATAAAAGTGTAATAACAAATAATGAATTACGTAGTAAAAGTGCAATTATATTTTAAAAACATTAAGTTATATTTGAAAGATAATTAGTATTTGTATGGTTCATAAAATTTAAATATAAATATTCTTATGGCTGATTTTAAACAGTGTGACTTAATTTTATATCGGATATAGCAGAAATAGTTTTTAATTAAATTTATGGCACATTTAAATTAATTAAAACATTTAAATTAAAGCGTTTTGATAACAGAACTCGAATTGAAAGTTTAAAACATAGTGCCAAGTATAGTCCAGTTAGAAAATAAATTAAAACAAAATATATTTTAAATATCTATAATATAAAAAAAAAAATCAAAATACTATGTATATAAATGTATATTTTATATGAAATAATAAACATACCGTTTTTAGCGAACTCTTTATTTATATGATTGAGGATTTTAAAAAACGACCAAATAATTCAAGCCACTTTTTAATGTGCGAACAAAGGCAAATAAAAAAAAAAAAATTCAAACCACTCAATTTCAACAAATTTGATCAATTTATACCCTACGATTCTTAATTGTGTGTATACATGAATATTGAATATTTCGGTGATAATTATTTGTATAGAAAATTATTTTTCTAATGTTTTCTAGTCAAAATCGGAATCGTTACTCAGCTACCATCACTTATGCTATCGTATCGATTTTTCTATCATATATAATTTTTAAAATAAATAAAAATAACGTCATCTTTGCTCGGCAACCAATTCTCTAACCAAAACCTAAACATGCCATTTAACATACTAACAATTCAACAATATTACAAGTACTTTACGAAAGCAAACTCTGAAAATTATCACATTCTTAAGTTTTACAAATATTATTAACACATTGTAATTTTTAACCTAACTTAATCCGTATAATATGTTATATGTGTAATAGTAATTTTGAATCTAACACCTCACATTTTTAATATCTAATATTGTAACATCTTATAGTTAAAACCTTTGCTGTTGAAGCTTTAATTTTCAAATAAATAAAAATTAATTAATTAATATTATAAACAATTTTTAAAACATGCATTTTAAAATTGTATGTTATGCAACAATAGAATATGTGTATAAGTATTTGTAATTTTACGTGTGCGTCACAACGTATTATATCATTCCTAAAAATTGTATAAAAAAAATCCACCTTTGATGATAAATTCACTGATTCTGTATCATTAATAAAATCAATTAGACAATTTACTCTTGTTTTAATACATGGTATATAAAAAGCCAAAGAACCAAGAGTTTTGACTTTGAATACTACTACAGTTATAAAAATGATAAAAATGCAATACTAAATAATATTAGAAACACATGGATGTACTTGTATAATTAACATAACACATATAAATTATGTTTATGATCAATTGGATCTTCAAACCAATTTCAATAATATTATTTATATATATAAATAAACAATCTTATTTCATTACCAACGAAAACAATAGAATTAATCGATAATACACTAATACTGAAGTTGAAACAAATTAATTTAATAAAGCGTTAAATTGCATGTAATCTAGATTTTTGATGAGGCACCATGTAGGTACTTATACTAAAATGAAGATTTCCAAAATATATAGAAACAAAACATTTAAAAGCTATATTCATAATCCTACACTAAAAATGGCATTCCAAAGGAAAATAATTAATAACACTCAACTAAGGTATATATATATATATATATATATATGAATCTATGTGAACGATTTCTACGAATTAAATAAAAGAAAATTAATTTAATGTAAATTTATATTATAAATGCAACCAAATTCTGTGATTAAACTTTAATAGTACCAACGTATAAATGAAAACGAAACCATTACCTTCTTGGCTCAGGTTTCAACCATGCGCGGAAGGGTATGTATTCTCCTGCAGAGGTCAGTTATTAAGTCTTACTTAATGTCAGGATTTACGAAACAGGAAGCCCTGCTGTGACTCGCGATGCGAAGGAGATGGTGGTTTTCTAGTCGTGAGGACGATGGAGGAACAGGGATTACTTACGAGGATTTTCACTGGATATTCGACGGTTAATAATTTACCCGCAAACGCTCCGACCTGATAAATTAGTAAATATTATGCGACTCGATCAAAATGCGTTCTTTGCCACATTGCAATAAAAAACGAACCTAAGGCATACGTACAACCCATTACCGTATGCATTTGTTTTGATCTTAATTGAGTGAGTCAACTTCACCAAACGTCGAAGAGGAGAATCTATTTAACTGTACAAACATAATTATTACGATTATATTGTTGGTTCGGAGTGTCAAATATTGGTATTTCTAGAATATTGATCCCCGATGTACGAAAAGTACGTGCCTCATTATTTTGAATACATAATATTTAACTCGAAGTATTTAACCGTCGTCGAATATAGAAACATATGGATTTTATATAGAAGATTATACATAATGTCTACTTTGGTCGCAGTTTCGGAAACTCCATGTGAACGAGTTATCATACGCGATTTATACAAACGCTTGCGAATGATGATATTGGTTCACTTATTTTCGGTGCTAAAATATATGTATTCCATGCACGATGTGTATTTGTGCACTTCAGAAGTGAAGATTTTCAAAGCAAAGCACACACGAATTGTGTTCAACGAATTGTACCTACTGCTAAAAATCTAAAAAAAAAAAACCAACATAAAGAGCTCACAGTTAATTCACGATACTACCAGCAATTGTTCTTGTTTGTATTATAGTCAACTATTATTTTTTGAATGTTTACATGGTTAGTTATCATTAAATGCAGCTTCATTAAAATGCAGTTATGAAAAATACAAATAAATTTAACTGTGGTTATATACTTTACACAATTAGTTTTTTTTAATACATTTCCCCATCAAAGAATTATACGCATATATAATTCTAAAAATATTTTCGACATCTCATATAAATTACGAATACATCTTTTAACAAATTTTTCGTAAGAGTTTCATAATTTTGTTATAAATCATAAAATTCCAAACAATTATAGATATGAATTGAACAAAACTAATTTAAAAAATTAAGAATAAGTATATTGGCAAATCATTGAAAATAATCACTTTATTTTTAAATAATTATTAGAATGTAATGCATTATATATATATTTTTATAGAAGTACTCAACTGAATTTGAATAATTTAATTGTTAACAAATATTTGTGCAAATCATTCCCAAAAATATGTTCATTCTCCTATAAATAATAACCCATAGTAAATACAAAATAAGAATAGGTACTTGATAATATTTTAATGTAATGGGTATATTTATTTAATAAGATATTTGTTTGTATTAATTAATTTGATTTGTCTTTGATAAGAATAAAACAAAAATATCATTAACATTTAAATAACGATATATATATATATATATATATATATATATATATTTGATTAATCTAGTATATTTAAAAATTTTAATAATATTATAAGGATATATAATAAAATAATCATTTTACATTCAAATTTACACCAATATAAATATAATACAATTTTAAAAATCTTAAAACGAGTTGTTTGTAGTTGATTAAAATCTATAAAATATTATATAAACGCTAACGCCAGTAAATATATTTATTAGTTATTTTTGATAAATTGTGTGATAATATTATTGCAAAGATACCTTATGTATGGAATTTCGTTCCTTCGACTTTTTTTTTTCTACTTCTAATTTGCATATATCTGAAACTTGATACCGCCCTACATTTTTACAAAAAAAATTGGACTTTTACTTTTTTGTATTAGGTTTTTATAAATTTTTAGTAACTTTTAAATTTCGATACATTTTTAAAATATTATATATTTGTAAACAATTTTACTGTAAAAAATTATATTATTAAATCAAATTCATTATAGACGAGTAGAAAAATAAATCAATATTTTTTTATGTTATTTTATTTAAGTACATACTAATAGCTAACAAAAATTAAGTTAAAAATAATTATTGTCGTATAAAAGCTAAAACTTATAAATTTATTTAGAAAAAAGGAGTGAATAACAATAATTAATTTGCAAATAT